ATTGGCCACAGACGCTTTTCCGGAAAAAGTGCTTTTCCAGAAAAGCATCCTGCCAATGTAGACGCACTTTTTCCGGAAATACTGATAACGGAAAACTGTTCCGTTTTAAGCATTTCCGGAAAAGGGTGCCAATGTGTACACGTAGCCCTGCAGGATGAAAGGAGTAGGTAATGGAGTAGCTAGCTGCAAAGTACCACATGACTTGCACAGTACTATCAAGCCCATGCTTTCCAGACTCAGGATCCAGACCCTTCAAAATCATGGTATTAGCTTGGGATTTTGAAAATAATAAAATTTGGGTTATTTTTGTTTGGCTCCCGGTTTTGGTAGCCTTTGGAGACATACTAATGACCTCTGCAGCTATATGGGCAGGAATTTTGTCCCATTTAATCATAATGAGACTCCAGGAGTTGGGGTTTTAAAATTGCTCCCTTAGTCACCAACAGTTTGGCCTGCACCAGAGAACTGCCATCACAACCTTCCTGTTTCTACTAGTAACACTTTGCTTCAATTTCCCCCAGATGCACAAGAATTTCTGGCAGAACTCACTCTCCCCAAAATAATCCCCACCCTATGCAGGACATTAGAGAGGAAGGCACTGGTGCTGGAAAATCCCCTTTACTGAAGTCTTCCTGGTTGTTGAAAAGGCACTGTTTGGCTCTCTTGCCCACTGTTTGGATGTGTTTGTCCACCACAGAAACACCTTTCTAGCCCCTATGCCAACCGGAAAGTAAAGAAAAGGCCTGGAAAGTAAGAGATCCATTTTCTAAGAAGGTAAGCCAGGGATCAGCAACCTTTTCGAACCAAAGAGCCAAACTACATCAAAATTCAGAACAAGTGGTCAACAAAGAGCTGTATAAAAATGCCCATGTGCATGACTGAAAATATACAACTTAATATTATTGATAACTGACATGATTAATAAAAGCATAAATGAAATAGTGTACTCACAGACTTTATTTAACGGAACTTCTGCTGCTGCATCTTTTCACACATTTCTTTAAAGTTTACATCATAACTGAGCAAATCCAGCTTCATGCACGCATTCAGGATATCTTCTGTCAATCTTATAGTGGGGCTGGGGATGTGGAGGTGCAGGAGTTTGGGTTGGGGTGTGTCAGGGGCTTTGGGCAGGGGAGTTGGATGTACGACAGACTCAGGACACAAGGCTGGGTGTGTGGTATAGGAATGTTATGGCAGGGGACTAGAGATGTGGGGGTACAGTAGCTTGGGGATGTGGAGAGGTTCAGGGGAGGGGGTTCAGGTGTATGATGGGCTGAGGGTGGGGTGGGAGGAGAATGCAGGTTTCCACATTGCCTTTATTTATGGCAGGGGTGAGGAACCTTTTTTGGGACAGGGGCCACTGACCTACAGAAAAATCAGTTGGAGGCCACACAGGCGAGAAGCAAAAAAAACACAATTCCCCCCCCCAAAAAAACCCTCCAACCCTCACTGATGTTCCCCCAACTGAGACACCTCACTCCCCTGGCACTCCAGCCCCAAGGGGCAGGGAGGGTAGGTAGGACTGAAGGTGGGGAATCTAGGGGGTCCCAAGCTAGTAGATTTTGTGCCCCCCCCCCAGGCTCTGGGGTGAGGCTAAAAATGAGGGGTCCAGTGGGCAGTGAGTGGATTAGGGATGGGGGGTTCAGAATCTGAGTGGGAGGTAGGGTGCAGTAGCAAGCTGGGGGTAGGTGTCTGGCCAGGAGACAGAAGAAGGATGCTGGTGGATATTGGGGCAGGAACAGGGTGCTGGTGGGTCTTGGGACAGGAGCAGCTTGGCCAGAATGTGTTGTTCCTTTAGAAAATCCAGCCACTCTTCATCCCCAAAGTCTGGTTCCTCTGCCACCATTTTAGCTGCCTCCCACATCACCAGCACATCTGGCACAGCTGCATGAGCTCTCTTTGGTGACCACCAAGCAGGCGGAGGCCATGCAGCCCCCGCTTCCTTCCTCCCCGGAGCACGGGGGAAAGCAGGGTGAATAAAGGAAGCATGCACATCGCTGTGGGGAGGAAAGAAATAGTGCACTTGCGCTTCCCCTCAAGCCAGATCCTGCGCAGAGCCTCGGGGCTTCCCTGCACCTCATGGGAAGACAGTGCTGGCTCCAATAAGGGATGCAAGACTAGATTGCCAGCATGGGCTCCCCGTTGCGGAGGGGAGGGACAGTGAGGTGAGACTGAGCTCGAGCTGCAAGCCACATTTGGCTCCTAAGTGAGCCAAATATTGCTCGTGAGGCATGAAGCCAGATCCTGCGCAGAGCCTCGGGGTTTCCCTGCACCTCATGGGAAGACAGCGCTGGCTCCAATAAGGGATGCAAGGCAAGCCAGATCCTGCGCAGAGCCTCGGGGCTTCCCTGCACCTCATGGGAAGACAGTGCTGGCTCCAATAAGGGATGCAAGACTAGATTGCCAGCATGGGCTCCCCGTTGCGGAGGGGAGGGACAGTGAGGTGAGACTGAGCTCGAGCTGCAAGCCACATTTGGCTCCTAAGTGAGCCAAATATTGCTCGTGAGGCATGGATTGCCAACCCCTGATTTAGGCTGTGGGTGGTTTGTGACCTTTTGGCTCAAGGAGGCTAGCCTCCCTTCCATGGCTTTTCTGCCTGAGGCCCTGCCCCTTCCAAGCACTAGGAACCCAGAGCTCCCCCACCTCAGCTGCCAGTGTAATGCCAACAGATGAAACCAAACTTCGGACGTCTGGGGCTTCATGCATGAGCGTGTACCACTGTAGAGGAAACTCAATCTTTCTCTCTGTAAGGGTGCATCTACACTGCACCCGTAGCTTGAAATAAGCTACGTAATTTGAGCTACGCAAATTGCATAACTTAATTTGAGTGCATTTTGAAATTTGAAATTTGGCGCTGTCTACACAGTGCCAAATTTCGAAATAGAGCGCTATTCCAAAACGTCCCTTAATACTCATGGAACAAGGTTTACAGGGATATCGGAATAGCGAGCCCATTATATTTCGAAATGACGCACTTGTTCAAAAGATGCGGCATAACTATTCTGGGATACCGGAAGTATCCTGAAAATGCGCTGCAGTGTAGATGTACCCCAAGTGGTCTAAGGTGCCGCTACACGGGACAGTGACATACCCAGCAGGTATATGGGTTACACAATTCCCCTACCTGAGGAAGGGTGTCCAAGCTTCAGGGACCCAGCTGAAAACCCTGATAAGCCTCCACTTATAATGCCATCAGATTGAAATGAACCTGGGACCTCTGGAGCTTCATGCAGGAGTCTCTACTGCTTGAGCTAGCCACCCAGCTGGCACTCAGCTAAGGCTGTAGACAAAACTCATTCTCTCTCTGTAAGTGGTCTCAGTGCCACTACATGGGGCAGTATACCGCACCCAGTAACTATGTGGATTACACCAGTCCCCACCCCAGACTGGCTAATGCCTGCAGCCAGCTTCCAGCTCCAGAGTGCCAGGAGGGAGAGCACACAGCAGTGCAACTGTAGCCCCCAGACTCAGGAAGGCGGGAAGTGTCGTCCCAGCCTCAAAAACCCAGCAGTGCTGCTAAAGCAGAGCCCTGGGGGCAGAATATGGGCGAGGCCAAGCCTGACTGGGGGGGCTCAGCCTCTCCCTGTCTCCCCCATCCACGATTTAGGCCCCATCTACCTGACACAAGTGGAGTTACACTATAAGTTATCTTGCTATGTCTGGAACAAATGGGGATTGAAACTACCCCTTATGTAATACAAGCCTCACCAATTTCCATTTCCTAATAAAACACCTATTTGCACTCAAATACTCTGGCTTATGATTTCCTCTGACCCTACTGCAGATAAACATTCATATGCCTTTTTCTCATGTCTGAAAATTTTATCCCTGGACATTTACTGTTGCAAAGGGACACATGGATACCATTTTTTAAGACACAAGATCCTGGGACCAGTTTGTGTAGGACAGAACAAAAACACTTTAGGCTGCATATCAGGAAATATTTGGTAATAATGAAACCCACTGCCAAGAAATGTGGAGGAATCCCATTCCTGAGTTATGTAAAAATGGATGGGTCAACAGACTGAAACAATAGGGAATAAACTAGCTGGCTCAATAGATGTGTTCTAGCTCTTGTATTTATATATATATATATATATATACACACACACATTTATATTTTTACAAGAAACAAGACTAAACAAAGGCATAGTCTCCTCTCTTTACCTTTGGAAGTCCTTGTTGCCTGAAATCTACACACAGAGAATTCAAATTGCTCTGTACACAGCATAGCATATGCACACTTACAGATATAAAAGTTACAGTTGAGCGTATAGAAGAAGTAGCAGCTGCTTGTTGGTACAAAATGCTCAGACTGGAAAAACAGGTGACAATGAATTCAAGCATATGCAAGTATTAAGCAAATAACTTATGAATTGCCAACAGCTGTTCCAAAGACCTCACCCTGTTTGCCACAGGTATTAATTTAAAGAATGATACCCACCCTAATTTAAACATGTACACACACTCACTCTAGGCTCTCAGTTATTTTAAATCAGGCAGACAATTGGTATGGTAAATCTGAAAACAATTACACCATAAATCCTCCATCCTTTTCAAAAACAGACATGCATATAAAGGAAAACAAGCTCAAGAGACAGGTTGTGAAACTTGGGATCAAATTTCATCCTATACCTTTATAAAAGGAGTTCTAATGAGACATGAAAAAATAGAAAGTTTGTCATTAACCTTTATCACAGTTTGATGGCTTTTTAATGTATATTTTGTTCAGAAAACTATGCTGTACTGAGCCTTTATCTCAGAATTACATAGAAAGGAAGTAAAACTCTTATTGTTTCCCATAGTGGGTAATATTAAAGGGTAGAGGACAGAGATCTTAATTTTCCCCTCATATCACTGTTTTATCATCCCAACTTTAGAGAAGGTGGCATTGAAAAACATTATTTTTCCTTTCTTTTTCATATCTATAATACCAAGAAAGAATGCATCTAAATAGAACATTATTGTCTCTGAAATATTTAAGCTTTTCACGGTACCTTTCTACTCTGATGTCATCTCTTGCCTCATCTGATGTGGCCTTAGTTGTTACAGTTATAGCATCCTTTTCAGGTACAGGAAGGACAGAATGACAGGGTTCAGGGAAGTTGCTGAGGTTATGGGAAAAACAGTGATATGATTAGTTAGTGGTAAAGTGGTTCTTGGTTTTGATAGTCTTTTGAAATATCATATATGCTCATACTAGAAATTATAAATAGTGATGCAAAAATGCACAGAAAAGAACAATTTCACTTACTGTTTTTAAAATAAAAACTATGTTTGAGACAGTCTTGAGCTCCTAACAAAATGTATTGAACATACACAAACCCTGATTAAGAAAGCTACACATATGAACTCCTAGCTTAGTACACATGTAGTATACAAATGCAACTTTAGTCAACTGAATATTTTTGGGAACACTGAATATTATCAAACAATCAAGGGCATTATTAACATAATTAGCATGTGCATGTCCTCTCTCTCTGTATTCATCTTTTGTATGTCTTATAATTAGATTATAAACTCTTTGGGGGCAGGAACCATCTTTTTGTCCTGGATTTGTACAGTGCCTTACATACAGAGGCACTGTCCCATGATGAAATATATCAGCTGATGGGACTGTTTTGAATATCAGTGGATCTTGGCTAACTGAAGTTAAGAGTTTACAAGGTTGTAAGGGAGCTGAGTTTTTTATTTAACTTTCAGTTTACAGTCTACAATGAAAACACCGTAGGCCCAATTTTTCAACTAAAAATAAATACCAACACACCTATTTAAGGCTTCTAAGTGTAATTTACTCCCCTAACTTTAGGCAATGCATTGTGAAAATTGGGGTCATCACAGAATCACTGCAGAGGAGCTTAAGAACTAGAAAGGTCTATGGAGCTGTTGAAGGTCAAGCTTTCTACAAGCCCCAAAATGTCTTCCATTTAGACTAAATTTTGGTTAAAAGGCAATAGGAACTATGCCCAACTCAAAACAACAAATTATTCTGTGTAAAATGTAAACCTCTGCAACCCTAGTACAATGACAGCTCCATCTAAACAAATTAATTAGTAAGTTAGTAAAGTAAAAAGTAAGTACCTTTCTGTAGGAAATCCTTCAGTAGGCATGTCCAGAAATTCATTCCTGTGATGTTTCTTAGACTCAGCGAATGAAGAGATTGGTGCCTTTCCTTCCGAATCCAGCGGTGAGCTGTCATGTTCTGAATGCATCTTGCTCCATTGATTTGCAGAAGCAACATTAAAATCTGTACTTATAAAAACCTCTTCTGGTTCCAGCCTGGTAATAGTTTCTGAGTAATGCTTTTTTTTATTTGTCCCTTGATCTTGAATGCTTGCTTGCAAAGCTGTGTCACCTTCACCAATTAACACTGTCTTTGTAATACCTGTTTTAGGGGTGTCGCCAAGTTGTTCATTGCCACATACAGATGCCTCTGCTTCTGCTGTGCCGAACATGGTGTCACTTTCTTTCTTTACCTCTCCCTTAGTGACACAGCTGACTTTAAACATGAAGTCAGCTTGGGAATGATCATCATGGCTTAGGTCATTTTTTAAGGGAACTAATAACCCACATATTGTTGCTTCTTTCCCCTGCTGTGTGTCTTGAACGTTTCCTAATATTTCCACATTTTTTCTGCTTCCCAAAGCATCCAGCATCATACACGTGTCATCCCGAGACTTAATTTCATGCACCAGATTATTGAGAGAGGATTTCTCTTGGTTTTCAACAGGCAACATATGAAGATCATCTCTTTTTACTTCAGCTTTGAAGTTATCTCCTTGGACAATTGCTGATGCTGACATGTTGCAGGTGCTATTGACAGGGCTTGGGTTACAGTCTTTGCTTTTCTTCTGCTCATTTGGCATAATGTCCTGGCATTGCTTTCCATAAGATATTAGATCTTCTGATTCTGCATGACATTGTAACATTACATTACATTCTTCTGCCTCTGGGATGGCGGCACTTTGTAAATCACCCTTCAGAACAATGCCTGTATTTTCTAAAGTGGGTTGGTCCTCCTTATCATAAGATGCAGTTAAGTTCACAGTTTCAACCCCATCGGATGAAGCAGATTCCAGCTTTCCTATCTCTTGGTCAACAGGAGCTTTAGCATTCACCCTGCTAGTATGTGTATCTGCCTCTCCTTCCAGCTGACTGCTTTTTGGGCTCTCAGTTTTGCTGTCCTGCTTTCTTAAATTCACAAGAGACGGTTCAACAGATTTAGAACCATCCAATAAGGACACTTTCTCTTCTGAAAAGGTACCTGGCTGTTTATGTTCCGCATTTTCTGGAAGCTTTAGTTCTCTGATCATGTCTTCTAGCTGAGCTGTCTTCTCTTTGAGCACTTCACTAAAAATCTCAGAATCCAAAGGCAGCTCTTGTCTCTCTATTTTCGAGTCACTTTCTTCTCCTACATTACTCATGCTTGCATCAATTCCTTCAGCTACTGTGTTAGGCTCTGAAAAGTTCTTAGAGCTTTGCAGAAATGGTGTACTTTTATCTACTAGACTCTGCCCCCTTCCAGCATGTATTTCAGATGAAAGTTGGGGTAATTCAGCATTTAAAGTATTGCGCACAGTTTTCTCAAATATTTTGCTTATATGGTCCCTGAAATCAGGAAAACTGGAACCAGTACCAAAGGTCCTGGAAATTGAAATATCATTTGCCCTTTCACTGTTTTCTGCAGACTGTTTGGAAATATTTATTTTTGTCTTGGTTATGATAGTATCCTCTTTCAAAACATTTTCACTTCCAGAGTTTTCTGAGATCTTCCTGAACTTGTCATCTTTGCAGATATTTGTTGCAATTTCCTCGTTACCTCTTTCTTGTTTACCAGCAGATGAAAGAACCAGCAGTCTCTCTTCTAGGCTAGGAAGACTGAACAGAGGCTCAGTTGAACTGTCACTTTTCTGTGCTTTGAAGTTTAGATCACTTTTTGTTCCTTTAGTTTTAATTGTAGAAATCTCCTTCAGCTTCTCAAAATTAAATTGTGATAAATTTCCTGCAAATTGCCCTGCATCAGCATGATTCGATATGGATGAAATTCTCTCTCCTTCACACAGGAAAGTCTGGCCAGGAATACTCGTTTCTTTCACTGAAGTATTTTCCAAATTTTCCACTTCCGTGATGTTTTCATCAGCTGTGTTTATTATCCCAGGTGAAATGTCTTTTAAATGCACAGGTACAGTAGCATCAGCTGTACTCTGCAATTCAGAAGTAGCTTCTAAGACATTTAGGCATGTTTTAACTACCAGCTTATTATTTAGTAACTCATCCACAATGCTGTCATTTTTACAGGTTTCAGGTTGCTGGCTAGCTTCACTATGATAATCCAATGCAAAGGTCGACGTCAAAAGATTTGGGAGTTCTTCTGTTGCAGACCTAGCAGGCAGATACTCATTCTTGGCTTTTTTAATGCAGTTTAATGTATATGAAGCATTGCTGGGAGCCACTTCCCTGTGTTCCTGTAATGCAGAAGGATATTCCTTTGCATCAGCATTCTGATTGCTCGTCTCTGTGACAGATGAGTCCCTTTCAAAATTTATTTTTATATTTTCAATTTCTGGGATGATTTCGCTGTCTGAAGGCAGATCCTTTTTTGTCTCTAGAACTGAGCCTTCTGCCAACGATTGTGTTTTTTCCTGGTTTTCTGAACTAGGTATTTGAGCAGCGTTCTTGTTTTTTTCATATATATTTTCCTCGAAGTCATCATTAGAACATATTATTTCAATATCAGTTAGTGAAGTCTGTGGTGCATCAGTGACATTTATTGAATTCTGTGCCCCTGGAATACAGTCAATAGCACCAGCACTGCTTACATTAATATTGTCTACTGCCTTACATATGCTGTTTGGCTGTTCATTTATGTCAGATTCTTTTGAAAGTGCATCATCTTGACATGCTTCTTCACGATTACTGACTGAGATCAAAGAATAGCTCTCCTGCTTGGGCTTGCTAGAGATCTGCCTCCTGAAGCTATTTTCTTCTGCCTCAAGGTCGGTTTTATTTTGCTGAGTGCAGTCTTGCAAAGTAGATACCTGGAGATCAGAACTATTCTGCAGATGCTCAGTGTCACACATATTCCCTTCCATAGAAGCAATACTTTTATCTGAGTCCTCCTCTGGTACTGCATCAGGATTATATTTGAATGTTTCTGGCTCTAACAAAGGAGGTGATGTTTGAGGGCTGCTTGTAATGTCTAGAGACAAATCTGATTTACTTCCGCATATATCCTGACAGTCACTGTGATAACTTAACTCCAATAAATCCTTATTTTTTGGAGCCATGTCTTTATGTTCCTTTTCATCGGTGCTGGTGACTGTTTTCAGATTGCTTGAGTCTCTGTGTTTTTCAGATCCTACATTTGAAACATGCTGTTGACTACTTTTGGCAGCAGTGTGTGGAAGGATTATTGAAACATCTTCCATTTCTTGCTTTTCTATAATATAGCTTTTTAGGTTCTCTGGAGAGCCATCTTTGTCACTCTCAGATAGCTCTTTATTTTCAGCTATGCTGCTATCATGTGATTCTTCTAAATTTCCCTGCTTTTGCTGGGGGCCTAACTCCAGAGTATTTGCTGATGCTTGAGAGATTGCAGAATGAGCCACTTGCATTCTTTTGTCACTTTTCGCATGTGCATTCCGTTTTCAGTGCCAAATCTTTATCGTTGACATAGCTTTTCACTTCAGCTCTGCATGCCTCCTGCTTAATTCCATTATTTTCTGTAACGTCTACCGCACTGTTTTGTTCAACAACCACAGTTACAGGTACACACTCTGGATTGCTATTAGGCACTTCCATGATTTCTCTGTTCTGTTCTTTGCTTTCACAAATATGTGAGGCCTCCTGAATGTTTGCTCTATGTAGTACACCACAGTCAGTAGTTCCTACCCATTCACTTAAGCCCTGATCTTCACGTTCTGATTTGAGAGTTTGTATATTTTCTTCAGACCCTTCATTTCTCTGAAACAATTCTTGATGCTTAGTTTTGCACTCTGACTCCAATGTAGCTTTTCTAGCAAAAGAGTGTACCCAGGATTCATCTTGCTTAGTCTGCATAATATCACTGTTTGGAGACTGCAGAAGTGGTGAACCATGTGCATTAACTGAAGAAACCTTTTCAGTCACTTTATAGCCTAGCATGGCTAAAGTTTTGTCTTCACTGTCAGTATTAAAATGATCAAAACTCAAAGGGCCTTCTTCTCTGGCTAACTGTGGAATTTCTACAAGAGGAAAGCTGCACTCTGGGGACAAGTCCTGAGCGGCAATTGTTTTCCCTTTGCTCACTTGTTGTTCAGATTCACACTGGAAATAGAGTGAATTAACTTCCGCTGGTTTCAAATTATGTTCTGAATTCAAATGCTCTTCCACAGATTTTTCACTTGTATCACTTTTTAAAGTCTTGTCTGAAAAACTAATTTCTCTGAAACCATCCCCCCAGTGGGCATCCTTCCTGTCGTGCTTGTTGCTATGATCCAAGTTAAATAGCATCCCTTCTGCCTCATTTAACCCTTCAGGTGATGCACTGGTTGCTATATCTTGTGCTTTCTCTTTTCTGTCCTTTCCCGGAGAATCTTCAGGTTTTTCTGCAGGCACTTTGCTGTCATTTTCTTTTATATTCAGCTCTGTGGGTTTACTCCCACAAGTTAAATCTAACACACATTTTTCCAATGCCAATCTTTCATGTACGATAGAATCTTCCTTGGTAGAATTCATAGCATTTTGTACATCAGAAAGAAGGGTGTTTTCTACAGACACTATATGAGACACTATTATTGATTCATTAATGCTGTCTTGATCTTTTGTGTTTTCGGTTGTGAGATCTGTTTTCTGCTTTCCCTCAAGCCACAGAGGTACACTGAAAGGTCCAGTGCTAGCAAACAAATTCACCTTCTGAGGCTCTCTTTCAAAACCAGGATCTGATGCTTCAGAAGTTGGAGTTTGTGCTTTACGTCTAACTGAATCATGATGTTCATTTGCAGACTCAGATTCCCCTGAAGGCTCATCGGCCTTTGGTACCAAGAACAGATCGGAAGGGTTAAAAGCCAAACTTGGTTTTAAAGTGCAAGCTGCTGATTGCTTTCCATTATTTTCAGAGAGATCCAGGCTTGGATTGTTCACTTTAGTTGCGGGCACATCTCTTCTGCATAAACTGGTGTCATCACTGAACACGAGGTTATCCACCAAACACTGACTATTCACAACTGCTCCATGTTTTTCACTGTCTGAGCCTCCTGTTGTGGGATAATTTAGGATTAAAGTTTCCTTTTTCATTAACAGACACTCTGTGCCATCTGTTTTCTGTCCACCTCGCTGTACAACAGTCTGCTCCTTATGATCCACTTCCAAAAATCCTGGCCCCTGCGTGGCCTCTAGAGGGGTAAAATAATCTCCTGCTTCTTTACCCTGGGGCAATGAGGCAACATGCGAGTCCCCCTTGCCATCCAGCTGTTCACTTTGCCATAATGGTTCTAAGTCACATGAATCTGTTTGTGTAACGCCTTGTGTCAGAGTAGCTTCTGCAGAAGGGTTGGCTTCTAAGCTTGTATTTTCTGGATCATTCTCACTCCTTTTGATAGAAAAGGCAGTAATACTGTCTCTTTCTGGGCCAGCATCCACAGATATAGCATCTGCTGTTCCTATTTCTTTGTCAGTCACGGTGCGAGGGTTTGGGGTTGGTAAATCATCCCTGCTGTCCGTGAGACTGGCTGTGACATATTCTTTGGCACATTCTGCTAAAGGCATTGAGATAGGTAGGCTTCTCTCCTTTGCTTCTGCAGCCTGTATTAATAAGTCAGACCCAGTTTGTCTTCCATGTTCTTGCCGAGTATTACGTGGTGCTGTCACGTCTGCAGACACTGCACATGAATTTGGATCAGATAAACCTTCAGCAGTGTGGCTATCGATGCCTTCATTACTGATGCTGCCAACAATTGAAATGTTTATTCATTTTGTATCAGCAAAGAAAGTGGAGCAAAACATAAAACAGTTCATGCTACTGAGGTTTCAAAGGCATGCAGTACATGCATTGAAAAGTTACTTTCCAGAGGCAAGAGATCAGAGGCACACTTTATAGTGATTCAAACTCCCTGTTACACTGAAATAGTCTTCCTTAGCCTTGTCTACTATCCATCACATTTGTTTTATGCATTTTTTTTCACTTCTCCACAGATTTGGTATTAATTATTTAATTT